TGAATGCCGTGTCATTGTCTGTCAGTATCTCGAGTGGCGGACCCCGTTCGTAAAAAATTGCCTCTAACTGGCGAACTACGCTAGTAGAATCTTGTTGACGTAGTGGACGCCATATCACGAACCGAGAAGGCCCACAATCAATAATTGTCAGAAAGTGCTTACCACCATGGTGAGTGATGTCCATCTATTCCAGTTGTGCCTCACGTTCAGCTTTCCTTTTTGCCAATGCACTGGAGCCAAGTCAATGGTTTGGCACACTTCACATTCGTTGACAACTACTTTTACAACTTCTAATGATACTGAAGGGTCTATCAACCTAACAAAGTACAGGGTCCTTTTCATGTCCGGTTTTCCGGTGGACATTAGCCACTTGGTGTGCATCCACCTTGGTCTTTGCAGTGGCACATACTGACTGCATTGGCTCCATTCCCTCCTTGTATAGGTTTAACCACCTCTTTGGCACCCTGGTCAGCCAGTCTCACAGATTCATGTTGGATTTGACCAGTATTATGTCCACCGTCAAGCCATATTCAGCTACAAGCTCGCGAAGTGTGTTCAACCATCTCCGCACTAGCATTTCCCCAGATATCTTCGTATTTATTCGAGCCTTGCCAGTTAAGGTGTTCGAAATCCACTGATGAACACATGCTGAATCAGTGAAAAGATGTATTGTCGACACCTGCCACTGAAGAGCCAAATTGACACCCTTTATCGTTGGGTCTAGCTCAGCTAAATTGATGTGCTTAGCATCTCCAGCTGGGCGCAGCCACGACACATCCTCAATGACGTTTCCATCTACCTCTAATATGACACCTGTGGTTACGGAACTCGCATCCACCCATACGTTCATTTCGTGGCCACTAACACACCAGTCTCCTCCTACTGGATAGGCCTCACATATTCTGGCTATTATGTCGAGTAACATGCAATTAATAGAGGCAGTCTCAACTTCGTCATCACATCCTGTGATTAGAGTGCTTGCTTGTCATTTCACAAATGCAGTGGCTACTTGTAGCCAGCTGCAAACAGGAAAGTGGCCCATAAGTTTTCCACATAATGAGAATACGTGCTGGCGAGTTATCCTCACAGGGATATCGGGGATCTCTCCATCTGGCCTCCATCGGAGAGTACCATGGTCACTCCAGACCTGTAAGCCCAGCACCTTAGCTCCATCTTCTAATCTCGTTGGTTCCTTGCACACTAGTCCGTACTTGGACAGGAGCTCTCTCACACATGCAACAGGAATTAGACTCTCGTTGACATAAATGTCGTCAACATATGCCGATGTGGCATTTGCAATGGTTTTGTCTTGCGATAATACTGCATCAATTATGGCTTTCATAATGAGAGGTGCCACATTTAAACCGAAACCCAGTCGAGTGAGGCAGTATCTTTGCCCCTTCACTATGACAGTTTGATAGGGCCACAGCGCTTTCTCCACATGTATCTGCAGATACGCTCTCTGCAAGTCCAACAAAGATACATCGGCCCCCATTCTTGCAACTTATGTGCACAAACCTCTGAGTTTGCAGTATATGGTTCTACAAAACCATTCAACTCGCGGTAATCCAGTACTGGATGGACCTTCTGCTTGCTCTCTTGTATCACTGCCATTAATGGGATTAGACACTTTGGTGGACCAAGTTCGTCTTCGGGCTATGGTCACAGCCATCCATTATCCAGCCATGACTGAAGTTTCCTTTCATATTCGTCCCGTGCATATTCAGGTACCGAATATTCTGCCACTCTATTCTTCAGGGTTATACGTGGTTGTCCATTGATCCACTTCCATGAGGCTGTCCATACTTTGTTATGATGGTCAAACTCTACACTAAAGTCGGGTTCAATGATGGAAATAGCAGCACATTGGGGCTTACTTTCTTTAGAAAATTGAACTTCTCCTGAGGAACTGATGTGCACTCCTAATTCTTTAATTGCCTCAATCCCAAGAAGAAGATCAAACCCAAGTAGTGGTCCTTCCACAATTAGGAGCATCAATGTACACGGGTTGAGCACGACTAACATTCAACGCAATATTGCCCTGTCCATGGCATTTTAGTGCCTTACAGTTGGCAATTAGGACTTCCATCTTCATTGATTGCCAATTGCGACATGCACATTTGCTCACCAACGTCCATGAGCAACCAGAATCAATCAGGGCCGTGCACTTCTTTCCGTCTATGGCCACCTCAATGATAGGTAGCGCCGTGTTTTTTAGTTGCTTGGAGAAAAGACTAGTGCTGATGTCTGTTCCCGGTTCATTTCCCTGGCACTCTGAGGAAATGTGCCCAACTTTGTTGCACTGAAAACACTGTATCTCACGGCAGGATCTTCGGGTCCGGGTAGCTGTCTTCTCTGAGTAGCCTTGTGCAGAGAAATTGCTTGACTTGTGGCAGTCCAGAAACGAAGGTGCATGTCATCCATTGTTCAGGCAGTTGTCCGCCAACCAACAAAGCTAGCTGTTTCAACTCTGCTAAAAATTTGTCTGTTTCCCCAGGTTGAAATTGTCGTGACACAAACCGATCATACGCAGTGAATGAATCCATCGCATATGCAGTTATGAGGGCTTGCTTAATCTGCTCTGGATCCGACCTCTGCTCCTTTGTCAGCTGCCAATATATATAGAGATCCCCAGCTCACAAGCGCAGTGGCAGTACCCGCTCGACTTTATTCATCTTGCAAAGTTCACAAACCAACTCCACATTTTCAATCCATTCTACAATTGGTAGATCAGTAACAGCTTCACTGAATTCAGGTATCAGCCTAATATCGAAATATCTGTCTGCCATGATTAGAGAAAATGTCAAAATAGCTTGTAGTTTAAATAAGTCTGTCACTTGTACAAATCAAAATATCACTGGTTCAATTCACCGTCCTTGCTTTCTGAACACGTCACTATGTATAGCCATTGTTTCTCTCTCTTTTCACTGCTCCAGCTCTCTTTTATCAGGCCAACACCACGGTTCACCAACCAATCAGTGTTCTTTGTTTTTATTCTTGGCTACAGTTGGACCAATCAGCACACGACTTGCTATTGGTGGAAGCATGCCAAACTGTACAAAAAACCCTCATCACTGCACATACTGCTAAAATGGCTGGACAGGAGAGTAATGCCATTTTCAAAGAGCAAACTTGCTGATGTCACGTGCTGCATGTTAAGGTAAGACCCTTATTTTCCTATACACCAGATGCAAGCCACTTTGGCTCACTTGCTTCTATGGAGCTGTTCACCACAGTTTGCATCTTCATCAGACATATATGACTTTGTGGTTCCTGTATTAGATATAAACAAGTTGGAGTTTGGAAGTTGGTTTTTGATGGATGAGAAAAGGAAGTTCCTATTGATATGGTCATACGCTACTGTGAAATCAATATAACAGGTATACAATTTTCCATTTGATAGGAGTTGCTTGATGACATATATACAGTAGTGTACAAAAGTGGGGAGGCAGAAGGTGTGACGGCCCTGGACATTAATATCGGGAGGGCATCCAACCAAAGAGTGAAATAAAAATTTAATTTTTGAAATTTGAAATAAAGTGTTTATTTGGTGTTTCATCTGTTTTTACATATTTAAAATATCTTCTTTTCTCACATTTCTCAGTACTACACCCTATAGCCCCCCCTCTATTTGAATATTAGGGGTTTACAATCAAGGAGTTGGTTCCAGACGTCACCAAAGCTTTGCATGCCACTGCATATATGCCATTATTACACCCCTGATTAGAATCAAAGCTAAATTGGGTTGTTAGAAGTTGACTTTCATAGAATGGTCAGAGTCTGGTTAGTAAAATATTCATTAGTACTTTCACTATGATGGACTGAATTGTGATACCACTGTATGTGTTGAGGATCTTTAGGACTACCTTTTTGTTTCCATAGAAAACTTATAATCATGATTGAATTTCGATTTTAATGTTTTTTATGCCTTTAGTCAAATGTTATTAACTTTTGTTTCATGAACATTTAATTCTGACCTTGATAAAGTCACTAAATTTATTATTTAATATTTATCAATAAATGAGAACCCATCAAAAATATGTTTATTTGAAAGCAGAGTGAAATTTTACATTAAATTTATATTTTATAAAATACTATAAAAACAATTAGAAGAAAGTGTTTTTGTTCAAAGTTTGAAATCAAAGGTCACTTCCATGATGAATTTCTGGAAAGCCAAACAATGAATACCTGATCTTTCAGTCAATTCAACAGAACTAAATAAATATATATTTGGAAAGAGCTTCAATGAATGCACAATGGAAAGTTTTTTTTTTTTTTTTAGTAAATATGATGTTTGGAAACAGGATATTTGAAATATATTCAGGTCAATTTTTGCTTGAGTATAAAAAAGAATTTTAATTAAGATTTGTGAAAAGTTTTGGCATATAAGAATCACCTGTCGTATTTATTAGTGTTGAAGAATATGAATTTTCTAATAAAAGTTCACATGGCATGATTATTATTGTCACATCTGGTCTGATGCTTTTATGTATCTAAAGATTCTTGACAAGAGTCAAAGAAGAATCTGCAATGTTATCTGTCCTGACCTGTCATCTTGGCTTAACATAGTTTTCTGTGCCTTTTCTATAAATATTTTCATAGCAATTGTTCTGATCAGTTCTCCTTTTTGGCATCTTGACTTCATGAATTCAAATATAATGCTAGATTGGCAGCTAGGTCTCATCATTTTACTGTTGAAATTACTAAGTGTAAGCATAAGTTCTATTATAATTATTGACACTTCTTGCTTGTGGAACTTTCGAGTTTCTGTCAACTAGGATCTTCAAAAATTTAAATGCAATGTCAATCTCCATCATATGTCTCCTTGAATTCTGTTCTTTTATTGTCCTTTCTCTTCAGCAATGCTTTCTCAGTTTTCTTCACTCTCAGTAACCTCTCATGTTTTAGTGGTTTTATTGTCTTGCTTGGGATGTAATGATTAAAAGAATGTCAGGTATTAAAGAATGGTTATTGAACTTTGACAATCATAGGTTACAGACCTTCAGGATTCTTTTGGTAATTTGCTTGGTTGAGGACTGTAATCAGCATTGGGTGAAAAGAAAGGAGTGTGGTGGTGACTGCTGAAATGAGAAAAAAGAAGTGGTTTAAAAAGCAAAATGAAAGTAAAGAGAGGAAAAATTAGTTTCCACATAATGAAGGACAAATGTTTTGCATTTATTTTTATGAAACAATTCAGTTCGGTATCTCTATATGTGTTAGTATCACATATTGAATGCTGGTGATATAAAACCATTCTTGTTGTATAATAACAGAGCTAAAATTTATACTAATAATACATATACATTTTGTTCCTCATGTATCATACAGTAACAAATAAAATTCAATGTTCAACTTATTTGCCCTTACTCAAAGTTCCATGGATGTAGTACCTACCAAGTGGAGGACTTGATAGTAAAAATCAATTTTACTATTAAGCTAGCTGATAAGTGGATACTACACCTGGAAACTCTAAATAAGAACAGATACGTTGAACATTTAGTTTTATCTGCTTTTACTAATGCTCTTTTTATTGAACACTCTACTTACAAAAATTGCTGAAATACACTTGTCAACTATTTTTATTTTAGTGAAACACAATCTTTGTTTTATATATATATATATATATATATATATATATATATTGAACAATAAAAAAAACATTAAAAAATTAAAATCTTCAGACACACTGGGTTGTAGATTAATATTCTTTCATTTTTATTATTATTATTTCATTTAGATTCCTTGACTAGTTTTGGTCAAAATGGCCATCATCAGGAGGAGAAATATTTCTGCTTGCTGGTAGCAGTGAACTATAGAAATGAATGTCTTGATGGGAAAAATGAACTTTTTGTCTGTAGTTCATTTTTTTTTTTTTATTTTTTATCTTTTTTAACATGAATCTTAACATTCCTTGTGTTGGTCAAACAGTCTCTTTTAAGTTGTTATTTGAGATAAGAGCTGGAGGGATCTATGCTTCTCTGAATTCCCTTGGTCAGTTTGACAGTTTTATTGGTCTTGGAGAGGGGAAGTGTCTCTGTTAAGTGTTTGTGTGTTATTTGGTTCTTAGGGAGTGAGTGAGTATGATATGTGTAAGTGTGTATATTGCTGTGGGTGTGTGTTATCATTTGGCTCATTAGGGAGTGAGTGAGTATGATGTGTGTAAGTGTGTATATTCGTGTGGGTGTGAGGCCTCAACACCTCCGTAAGCATGTCTGTCTTGTGTGGGTGAGAAATCTGGGTAGGTTTTGATTTGTTGAGTTATATATTAGTACTATCTATATTGTTAAATTTATGGTTTAGCCTGGCTGGATATTGTGTTTTTAGACGTTGTATCCACTTATTTTCATGGGACTCTAAAATCTTTCTAATGTTATCTGCTCTGAACTTTTCTATTCTCTCAATTATAGTGAATTTGGCATGGGTTTTGAAATCGTGTTTTTCCAGGCGGAAATGTTGTTCTACAGGTAATATTTTTTTCATGGGGAGTCGACTTAATTCGATTCGATAATTATTAATTCTGTAGTGAAAGGGCCATTCAGATTTTCCTACATATTGTTTCTGGCATAGTGTGCATTCTAGGAGGTAAATTATGTTATGACTTCTACAGTTAGAATCGTGGTAGATTTTGAAAGTAGATTTAGTGATTGAGCTAGTGAATGAATTTGTGTGTTTAATATGGTTTGCAGCATAAACTTCTTTTGTTGTTACATGGTTGGGAAAATCCTGTTGTTTTTGTTCTTAGTTTATTACGGATTACATTGTCCCCTGAACGTTTGGTTTACTACCTATGATTTCTTTTAGGTTCTTAGGTCTATGATATGCAAGAAGGCCGAGTTCCTTAAACAATTTTTTTAGGTCTGGTTTGAGATGTAGTATTTCCCAGCAACGTTTGATTATTTGGGATAGTGTAGGCACCTTGAACATGAACACCATAAAATTATTTACAATCTAAAAATATTAATCTTTTTTTTAAAAAACGAATGTTCCCCATTCAGAATTTGCTATACATAGATATATTATACCATTTTGGAATATATATATATATATATATAAATTAAATACAATAATTTTAAACTGATAACTTTTGTTGGTCATTATGCCAAGTTCAAGATATGTTTTATTAAAATAGATATCTTGCTGAAAATATTTATCCAAAAATTTGTTAAAAAAAAACTTTTATCACAACTTTTTTTTCTTTGTAGAATGGCTAGTAGTATTAAATTATAATATTAAATAGTATATATAATACTCTTGGGATATTTTCATCACATCTTTAAAAGTTTACTTTGTACTTAAAAACACAAGTAGTGCTTTTAAAATGTTTCTTGAACTTAATATAAAAGATACCAAAAACATTGTGTAAGAGTTAGATGGAAAGAGTTAAAGGTCTGAAAATGTATCAGCCATAAAATTTTGTCATATAAAGTAACAGAAAATCTTCAGTGAAAATTACTTCATCCTATAAATATTCTTTTAACATAATAAGCTTTTACTTGCATGTACAGCAGAATAGAAACAGAAGGTGAATGGGGAACATTCATTTAAAAAAAAAAAATTAATGTTGTTAGATTGTAAATAATTTTATGGTGTTCATGTTCAAGGTGCTTACTACTTATTTACTCTGCATATAATTGTATTGTTATGCACTTACCTGTGTCTGCATGGCTTGTATAAGAAATTGTGTATGAAGCAAAGACTTAAGCAATACAATTGTTTCAGGACATTCTCTAAACTCTGTTGACTTTTTGGAATATTCTTTATGATGCTGAAATAAAGAAAATAACATTTTCAAAGCAAAATAATCTAATTTAGGATGAGAAATACCAAAATGTAAAAATACTTTCCTTTCATAGATTTCTGGTATGAAAAAATGTTCTGTGAAAAATATTTTGTCACATAATAAAAGGGTTTTAAATATATAAATGATTTAATACAAAAAGGACCTATAGACATTTCAGTGAATCTTTGTAATCTAAATAAACAGCAAATTCTGTCTGTCGGTCTGTGTGTCTGAAATCACTTTCACTTGGGCCACACTTGCTCTACATAGATATATTATGCCATTTTGGAATCAAGATGATCCCAGGATTGAAAATCTGTCCTTCCACTGATGCTTGAACATAAAGTATTAGGATTTGTGTTCAGATGAGGAAGGAACAGTTAAAACTTTAAATTTTAAAATAAGTGAAAAAATAAAAAAAATAGTGATTTATATGATTTATATTGAGTTTAAAGTAACACAAAAACAATGTGAGTTTAAAAATTTTTTGTTTTAAATTCAGTTTAAAATATCTTCAAAACTTGAATTGAGGAAACCAATTTTATTTCTTCAAAATGCCAAGGAATCAAAGCTAAAGTGAGGGGAAAAAAACATGAGGTTTTGAAGTTCTGCAGAGTTTGTGATTTGAAAAAATCAGTTTTCGGCCTGACTTGGAATTTTGGTCCAAATCAGAGTTCTGGCCTAAATCGATCTTTTGGCCAGAATTGGACTTATCGCCCTAATCAGAGTTAAAGTGAGGTTTTGAAGCTCCATGGAGTGAATTGAGAAATTCAAAGTTAATTATTCAAAATTCTTATTGCTGTTTTTTAAGCTGCACCAGAAGTCCCTTTAGTTTTTGGACTGGAGGCCCAATTAGCCTCCACAGAAGCTAGCTTAAATGTTTGCACAGTGTTGTTTTTAAGCTAGTTTAACCCTAGAATATTAACCATCAATTAAAGTTACACCACTACTAACCATGGTTATATCATACCTGATTTTGAAAATATCAAAAAATATATTAAATATAAATCTTTATTTGAAATATTTTACATGCAGGCACTTCAAACTTTGTACTTTGAGTTAACATTAATAGGAACTGAAAAACATTATTTCAGTAAGAAAATCAGGTACTGAAAATTGTAATTAAAAATAGGAAAATTTGCGCTGGGCATTATATACCCATGGTTAGTGTTCCAGGGTTAAGAGAATAGCATAAAGTAATTCATATATTTGATTAATACAAAACAAGAAGAAATCATTATTTAGTTGTAAATAGTAACTTTTATAGGTGCATGCAAAAGTTCCCAATGCTTGCTAGAGTAGTGATTCTCAAACTTTTTATTCCATTCACCTAACTTTATGTTCCTATGCTGCTTATTACCCAGAGTTAAAAAAAAAAAAAAATCTGTCTGTCCTATATACTTCTTAATAAAATAAAATCACAACACTATATTCTTTAATGTATAGCATATATTCTTTAATGATGTAGTAACAATTAGAAGTTGGAATATTAATTAAGAATAATATAGCAAAAATAAAACTAAAGAGAAGGATGGATATGTTTTTTGGCAATTAAATTCTTAAAGTATGGTTTTGTTTTTGACAGTGCAAGCCACAAGTCTAGAGCCATGTAGAGACAAGCTTTGTACTTGTTTTTCATGTATGTTGTTGAAAACACTGCTTCAAATAAGCATGTCTGTTTGGAAATGAAAAACATTTTTTTCTTTTTTGTCACATGTAATTCCTTTTGTTAATACATGCATTGTCATTTGTTTTATATTTATTGTTTTGTGTGATTCATTTTTTTGCTTGGACTCACATTGAGTCTGCCAATATTGTTTGTGGGACACATTTTCCAGGAGCCCATAAATATTTACTCTCAAAAGTGTTGATTTCCGCAAAATAGTGATGACTATGTTTACCCAATTATCCACGCATCCCACATGTCTATATTTTTATTCATCATTATGTTCAGAAAAAAATTTCTTGCTATGCCTAAAATGTCTTCATTACTCAACCCATTTTTATTCAAATCGTGGATATTTGAGAACTGTTGCTCTTGAGAAAAAAAGCACTAGAAACTTTTACATTTGCCTAATTTATCTATTTGATAAAAATAATCATTCACCTCCAATTTTTTGTCAAAAATATTCTCATTTTTTTGCTTTGATGTTTTCTGCTGTCCTCTATTACTTTAAGGCTTACAATTTAAAATGTTCTGATTGTAAAATACTGGTTGTAGCAAATATATTCTAAGTTTGTTGAAAGTTAAGCACTGGACTTTTTAATTATTGCCACTGATATAAACAGTTTTTCTATTTCAACAAAATTATTGATTCATGAATAATAAAACAACTCATAGCATTTTTAATTCATTCTGAGGAAAGTAGAAATGAACAAAAACCCACTGTGCACACATAGCCTGGTAGGCAGAAACAAAGTATTAAGCTTCTTAATTTAGTGAATAAAATGCATTATGAATGAAACATAGAAATATTTTGTAAATGAGACGGAATTTATAACAGAAAGCATTGTAATCTAAAAATAATTGAATGTCCAAGTGTCATCACATTGCAAAAATCTTTGTTGAAAATTCTAATAATGATTACAAGCTGTTCATGATCGCAATAAAATAAAAGTCAAACAACTAATAACTGAAGAGTGACTTTTGCATTTAAATCTTTTCTGTAGATATAAAACAGCTGTTGGCAATATTTATCTTATGGTTTTATATTACTTATGTAGAGTGGCTCAGAATGAGAAATCAGAGAGCTAAGTTCAAATTCCAGTTGGATTTATTACATTCACTTATGTACAAATACCTTTGGGGAAAGTACAAATCCATCTCCTCCTCCCAACTATGGGTTAAATAGTAGGACATTTATTGGGAAAAGGGATTGTTATTCTCAAAAACTTATGAATGCAGTATTCACTTGCAAAAAAATGTTTGGCATTAAATAAGTCACAAATGACTTAAACTGACTTAAACACCAGAAGATTGGTTAGGAAATCAGTATTTAAAAACTTATGCATAGTGACTGTTTCTTAGAAAAGGATTTTTTTTTTATTGTCAATTAAATTTATGAATTCATTATGTGCAAGATGGCACTTGACTGTAAACTCAGAGTTTTTGAATTAACAGTTTTAATTGGTGTATGGCAGATAAAAAAATAAAGTTTGATAATTTTGACTATTTGTTTTTATAATTAAGCCAGTTACCTCCTTATTATTTTTTTTTAATGTCATGTCCCATCAAGGAATAGGTGGAAAGATAATGGAGTGGTTAGCTGTTGTCTTTTTCACAGTTTGGAATTCAGTTTTCCTTCTCTTAGACTGGTTGCCACTCAAAGCTAAAAAGTCTAGTCTGCCCTACTATTTTACCCATTATTTGTTTAATGTTTCTGAATTGGGTTTTTAAGAACAATTTTAGATAATTCAATAATTATCAGGTCATGGGTTAAGATAGGCAGAAATATAAATTGACTCCATTTGATTTACCTCTTCTGGTTGTTATTTATTATTGGGCTAGTACACATAAATAAACAAATAATGAGATTATTTACCTGGAGATAAATTATACAAATATGTATTTTAGTACAGAACTGCAAAAAATCTGAGACAACAGCGGCAGTAGTAGTAGTGATATTGCCAACAGCAGTTGCCTATTTCACCCCAGTGAACATACAAACACAGAAGAGCTATTTTGTGTGTGTGTGTGTGTGTGTGTGTGTAGTACCTTCTTTCTCATTTCCTTTAGTATTTTCCAGTTAATCTTACTTTAAATTCAAATAGTAGGATGGTAGTGTCTGGCCCCTTACCAGGCCCCCTTCATGAAAATGATGTAAACTAATTTTAGTGTTCAAATTCTTACAGTACCCTCGATTTAAAGCCTCCCCTCCATACATTCAAAACACTTTGGTAACAGGCCCACGTAATATAATGGTTACAGCATTTGCTAAACTACCTAGGGATCATGAATCCTTTAATTTTATATATTGATTTTCTAAGCAAGGCTTAGATGTAGCACATGGCTGAAAGTATGAGGCACCCAGTGAGGATCAAACTCACTATTCAGTTACAACAGTTTTAGCAAGACCAGCTTGCTAACCATTACACCACGCCAAGGCGCTCTCCTTTAATTTTATATATGTTTGCTTTACTATGACAGAAAATGCAGATAAGAAAAGGACAATTTTATATAAAAAGATTGGGTTAAACTGAGGCTAAATGTCAAACTCTTCTTGGTTTTAATCAGTAGAAGGAGTTAAAAAAAAAAAGCATTATTTTAGGTACCAGTTTGTTTGATACAAGAAAATGGCTCATCATTCTGATTTTAAAATAGATTAGAATCTCTTTATATAACAATTATATAAAAATTATATTTTTTTATTAAAATAAAATGTCTCATGGTAGACATTTTGATTTAAAAAAGAAAAAAAAAAGAAGAAAATCTGCTGGGAATAAGATTTGACAGTAACATTAAAATAAAAAGGCATCATTGCTTAAGCATAGAAAATGTCTTGCTTGAAAAAGAAATGAAATATTCTATTCATAAATAATAAACACTCCAAACAATATCTAAACAAAAAGAAAAAAGAGAAATGATGGTGGAGAAGGTCAAGCCTGACAGCAAAGACTTTAGCAACATGAAAGAGAAATGGCAGGTGAAAGAGATCATGCATAACAGCAAGGTAACAGCAGTGGCAGCAATAGGCTGACAATAAGACCATTACATTTGGAGTTTCTCAGTTCTAGATTCAGCCTAATGGATTAAAGTGTTATTCATGAATTAGATGGCATAATAATTGTGAGTTCAATCTCTATCTGGGATAATTCAGACTCAGTGGAAACATGGCTAGCAATAACAGAGTAATAGCAAAAAAAGAACAAGATATCTCTATATAAGGACAGAGATGTGAATAACGTTCTCCTATAGATTAAATAAAGGGTTCAGTTCAAAATTCCCTGAAAGTGACCCAGATCAATCGACACATGAAGAAGACTGGAATGTTGTGATAATAATAACAAAGATGAGAACATTAATCTGATTGTAAATAATGTAAATAATCTAAATAGTTTTCATATAAAATAAGTAAAATACATCATTGATTGAAATTCTCATTAAAAAATAACATGAGAAAATGTTTTGTAGAATACATAACTCTATCTTTCATCATATAAATGGAGTGTCTTGTCATCTAAAATGCAGTTTTAGGCAATATTGTGTCAACCAAATTGGGTTTTTTACTGCTATCACATTTTTTCAAGTTTTGACCAAGTAAATTATGGACTGGGATAGACCAGAATTAGTTTAGTTTATGAATTAAAAATAAAAGACTTATTTTTTTTTTTTCTTATGTTTTGTTCTGCTGTCTTCTACCATTTTTCAGTCAACTTCATTATTCCATCCTCCCTGAATTTTTATCTTTCTGTGCAAAAAAAGATATTGCTTCTTGTTGACTATTTCAAAATATCTACTTTTAGTTGTATTTAAACTATTTATATTGTTCAGACTGTTGTCCTCATCAGGATGTTTTGACTGTTGTACACTCTGGCCTTCTTCAGGTGATTGGAATTTTGAACCAAATCCTTTATTTAGTCCACTGGTGAAGATTGTTCTCGTTCCATGCCTTTTCTGGATACTTCTGTTTCAGTTATTTTCCTTTTAGTAACTCAACTCTCCAAGTTTTTGTTCACCTCTGCTGTGGCCAGGGATTGAACTCACAACTCTTTGGGTCAAGTTACTGGATTACTTCAACCAATGCTTTTATCCACTGGGTCACGTGTCCTTGAGGAGCATACAATGACTGAAACGTGAATCTGACAACAAAGATGAGGACAACAGCCTGAACAATGTAAATAGTTACAATACCACATCTCAGAAATATAAACAGATATTTTAGTTGTATATCTAACATCAAAATAATTAAAGGCTTTTAAATTCAAGTATCAATGAATTATCAACCAACTGACCTTCATTTGTTTATTTGTACACATTGCATTTTGGTAGATGCATTAATCTTTTATCTGTTGTGTGTAAAACTCAATCCAACAACAAATTAAATAAATACTTTAAGTGAAAAGACCCTTGTAAAAATGATAGTTAATATAGAAGTAGAAAGATTTGTAGAAATTTATGACATTACCAAGAAAATAGTAAAACTCATGACATTATCAAGAGTGTCTCTTTAGCTTGTAATGAATCTTTACATGAAAAGCATTCTGCTAGTTAACTTTCTAAGTTTGCTAAATAAGAAACCATGTTTCAATTATCTTAAGTTTACAACCAAATAATTAGTATTATTTATGTTAGGATAAAGAAAATGAAAAAGATTATAATCTCATCATTCAAAAGAGGAAAAAGTCTATTTGATAAAGAGAACAACTCATTCAATTTGCTGTCTTTTTTGGGCATAGGAAATTATGGCTCACCACAACTACCTCATTTGTCATATGCTCTCTCCATGATATTCTCAATATTGCTCTAAATAATGTATTTAACTGGTTTTGATACAAGGCCATGGCTATTGGGCACCCAGTGAGGATCAAACTCACTCCTCAGAAATTATGATCTTTCTAGACTAACTTGCTATTAACTATTGGCTTTTAATATTGAGATTGATTAATTATTAGATTCATCTGATAAGAAAAAAGCCCTAGCCTAATAATCAAGAGCAATTTTTTTATAGCATTCTCTCCCTCCCTCCATGTCTCTCTTAGAATGTAAGTGATCATGACTCAACAGTTTCCTTTGTTTCAGCAATAATTGTTTCTTTACAACTATATTTTGTCTGTTCCTTCATCTGTTTGCTTGAATTAGTCAAGTATGTTACCATTTCTTCTTCTCTTGTTGTCAGGCTTACCAAGACTTTACATATTAAGTGAAGTCCACAAAATCTAAACAGTTTCTGATTGTTAGAAAATCAGTTTCTTTGTAGTTCCTATTCTCCTCTGAACATCTTCATTTGTCACATGCTACGTAATATTCTCAATATTAGTTGCTAAAACTACATTGGTTGGTTTCAGTTTTTTTTTTTAAAGACTGACAAAATCATTTGGCATTTACTGTCATATATACAGCAGCCAAACACTTGTTTCTAATTTTAGTTTTTGATCCTTTAATACTTGGCTCAAAAGTTGTCTCAGTTTAGTATTCAGATATTTCTGAAAGAGACTAGTCAGCATTTATAAATTGATTAAATGAATCAGCTCTTATATTCTTGAGTTATTGTTTTTATATTTGTTGCAGCCATTTCTTTGTGCTTCCTTTTTTTATTGGCTTACATTGGGAACATTCTTTTTATCAATGCAAATAAAATGTGGATAAGAGTTAAAATAAAAAAAACTAATACTTAAGGTGTAAATTGAAACCTATATACAATCATTTATGATTGAACAAAGTTACAAAAACACTTTTATTATGAAATGTGTGAAATTTGTTTTAATAAATAATTAATTAGCAGCAAATCAACATACATGTTTTTAGAAACAATCATGTTGTACAAAGCAAAAAAAAAATTCATGAATATTAAAAGTAAATTTTTAAACTTTCATGAGATCAAATGTGATTTTTGCTTTATTAATAAAACAATTGTTTTGAAATAAAAAACAAATGTTTTTTTGTTTCTTTTTGTAAGAAATACATTCTTTTAGGAGAATAACAAAATAACAATAAAATGCAAAGTTATCTTGAATGTAGAAATAAATCTATTTTATGAGGAAAATGTACAAAGGATAAAATGAAAAAATTTTAATTAGAAAAAAAACAAAACAATATTAGAATACTAGTTTGGTAGCTCAATATTGAGGAATGGTTAGCATGATAGTCTCACAAATCATTAATTCTGAGGAGTCTGATCCTCATTGGGTACCCCACATTTGTGACTTTATGATCTATTTGAGCCTCACTCATGGCTGAGGTAGTTGCATATTTTCCAATTAATGTTAGTGGTGAGAGAGCTACAATTTTGAAGGCAAACAGGCCCTCCCCACTTAGGAAAATTGTCATGCTTTTTTCTATGTCCATTTCTATTTGACCTTGAGTCAGATTTAGAAAAAATATCAATATAATATCATTTAATATATATTTGACACATGTCCTTTAACCTTTCGCAACTTTTAGATTGAGTGTAGAATATTTTCAACAGTTTTGTTGGAACACAGCAAAAGAGTAAACTCGTTAACCCTTGTATAGCCTGTCATAATATATGACAATATTGTTGCAAATAATGTATTAAGTCACACGGTGAGATTTTGAGAGCCAATATTTACAGAATTGAGTTTGGGGGTGTTGAATATGAAAGGGTTAAATCATTCTGTTTGAAATGTTTTATTCTGTAGACAAATGGACTTAATGCTCTTTAAAGTTTCCTTCAGAGGGGGAGAGACAGTTTGTTGCAAAAGAAACTAGTTGTATGAGATAACAAATAGAGTAATAGATGACAAATTCCAAGTGGAGCTAATTGCTTTGATTTGGAAGTCAATTGATAACAACACTTACCTGGTGACATAGGCCAACAAAATATCTGCAGGAGCAACGAAAGGTTTGAGAATCATGGACATAGCTTGAAACAATTTACCCTGGCAAAGGTGGTTCAGAAAACTTTGTTTTTTGGAAGAGTGAAATACTGGGGGAGAAAAACATGAAGAGTGCATAGATTAAGATATTGTAGTTTACTTTATAGTTATGCATAAATTCAGATCTGTTGAACAATTATTTTAGAGCTAATAAGAGAAACTTCTTTCAAAGTAAAATCTTTTAATTTTGACTTCAAATGAATCAACAGTATATGGATAAATTCCTATAGATTGAAAGAAAACACCTTTCTTAGATTTATTGACCAATCAAAATGCTTTATTTTGACTCTCAAAAATAGCTTGTTTGATTCTACTAACACCTACATAAAAAATGATATCTACAAGTCTAATCAGTCAAGCTTGTTCATATTAAAAAATTCAATCCATCTTATTGATACATAATTTATTTTCTTCTAGTTGTTCAAAATTGAATGTTAAAATCAAATTAAAAAAATAAACAATTTTATTTTTCATAATTTGTTTAATTAACATGGCATTGACATATGACTTATATACATAGATTTTCAAACAGTTTCCCCAATATTTCTTCAAGTTGATTTTTAATACAGTGTGACCCGGATATAAGAGAGATTTTCTCTGGTCCCAAATTAGAGCCTGTGTTAATGTATATAAAATAAACCAAACCCGGATATAAGAGACTTCTTCTCCGGTCCCGACAACTCTCTTATATCCGGGTTACACTGTAACATCAGTATATGTTTCATTTCATTGTTAGTTTTTTTATAAAGAGATTTTGGTCAAGATTTTTTTCCATCTATAACTATAATAAATCATACAAAAGCTATCAAACAAATTTCTCTTTTGTAGTCAAAAAAAATTTGATGAGATGTGTTTTTGCATTCTTTATGCATATCTGATATAATAACTTTCATTTGTTGGCTATTGTGGCATTTAAGAGTTTCCTTACTTTGCTTGATTCAGCAGTAGCACCAATGGAAGTAACCAGCAGAGGACAACCAGGAGTCCTAGAACTCATAAAAATGTTGACCAAAACCTATTCTGTCCCTTTTTCCACTTGTCACATTTTTTTTTTTAGTGGCCACTACTCATGTGGCCTGTCTTGGCAGCTTGACCTGAGATTTATCATTCTTTGAGGGAACAAATGGAAAAATCTCTCTTCAAGACATCGTACCCAAATGAAAAACTACTCACAACTACTCTTGGTGTTGATATAACTATGATTACTTCTGGAATCTACCAGCACAGTAAGTTTATTTTTGCTCATGAAGCATTTTACCATGGCTTTCAAAACTCCCTGTTGCCCAGTAGTTATTGTGGCCATGACAGGTAATGCAGCAGAAAACTTATTAGCTTTCAAACAACAGACTTTTGTAAAATGACCTTCCTTCTTGCAATAGTAGGAACTCATTCCTCGAGCTGGACACTTATTTCTAGGGTACCTATTGTCTCCACAGAAAAAGCACCTTTTATTAGTGTTATGGGGGTCCACCCCTTTTTCATATAAGTGGACTCTAGCAGTGTACCTGGACTGCTGCCGTTAAATACCCAGAGTTACAGTCAGTGAGGGTAGTCGGATAGAGAGAGGATATACGAAGATAGTGAGAGAATATACGAACGGAGATAGTGTGAGGTAACCTCTTGTAGAAGTCAGTTACAAGCACGTAGACTCTAAAGAAGTCCTACTTCGAGACTGTATATATCTATCTGTATTTGCTACTAACCGCGTTCCTGGATTTACTAACAGTATTACTCTTTGTATGATTGTGTAAATACATTTTATTTCTTATATTTAATTATTGCGTTTGTCATTCCTTGGAGACCAAATTCATCTCGGAATCCACAACAGCTAGCTTTCAAGAGACAAATTTTAGAGAAATGACCTTCGTTCTTGCAATTGTACAAACTCATTCCTGAAGCTGGACACTTATTTCTAGGATGCTGCAGAACAAGCACCTTTCTTTTAAGAGAGATTTGCTAGCAGAGGAAGTCCAAGAGTCCTCCATCTTTTGATTTTCCTCTTGCTGAGAAGTTAAGGCATTAGTCTGGATTTCCAATACTGAAGCTGCATGATAATTTGTTTGGGTATCAGCGAAATAAGCTTCAGAATTTAGGATAGCCCTTTCTACACTTTGTACTTGATTTCCAGTTTCTGTGAGGGTGAGTGTATTGTTTTCAAGAAGTCTCTGCCAAATTGGTGGTGCAGATAACCTAGAAATAAAGGCATCTCTAATAGCTTCCTCTTCGCAAACTTGAGTGGTAACATCTTTGAATTTACAGTCCTTTGCCAGAACATGCAATGCTCGAAGATATTTCTCCAGCCTGTTGAGTTTTGGTTGCAAGTACATGCCTAGTGTATATCTCACTTTTTTCTTGGATGAAAGCTCTCTTTAGAATGTTAATAACTTCTTCAAAATTTTTATATTCAATGAACAGTTAGTATACATAAGGCAACACATAATTTCTAAGAATATCCAACTCCTCACCCTCAATATGATTGAAGTTTACAATTCCATCTAGCAGCCATTTCAACTGTAAAATGATGAGACTTTGCTGCCAATCTCACACTCTTTGGGTCCTGTTACTGGATCTAACCAATGCCTTTATCCACTTTATGACCCAAAGAGTGTAAGTTCAATACTCGGTTAAGGCAGTGGATAAATTGGAGAGGGGAATTAACAGGAGATAACTGACATCCATTAAACATGGCACGTGGAACTAGAACAGTCTACCCCAGTGAGCAAAATAAAGGGTTCAGTTCAACATTCCAACCATCTGAAGAAGGCCAGAGTGTACAATGGCTGAAACATTGTAATAAATATGGTGACAAAGATAAGGACAATAGTCCAAATAATGTAAATCATGTAAGCTGAAGCTAGCAATAAATCCTTTACATCCAGCCAGGTTTTCTGCATTTTGCTCTCAGATCTTCATATTTTTCAAATTTAAATTGACATTTTCCTGAAAGAATTTAACTGAACAATGTGGACCTTTTGTGAATTGCCTGACAAGATAGTTAAGTCAGGATGTTGATCAATTAACATGATCTCAGCTGGAAAAAAAAATGAGACAATTTTTTAAACCTCAACACTGACTTTACAATCTGCATGACAATAACAATAATTCTTTATACATTTTTAACTGAAATACTGCCTAGAATGATTCCTTCCTTCATGAAATATATTTTCATCATTGTTATAATAAAACTATATTTAATGATTGACTGATTGAAGAACTTTTTATACTGTCAAGAATACTTGAGAAAATTCAAAGAAGGATCTGCAATATAATCAATCCTGACCAGGTATCTCAACTTCAGTCACTTTCTCACCAATGTGATGTGGCTTCTCTCTATCTTTTCTACAAATATTTTCATGGTAACTGATCTTTTCCCTGATACACCAACTACATAAATTTAAGCATGATACTAGATTGGCAACTAGGTCTCACTGTTTTATTGCTGAACTAGTTAGATGTAACCACCACTTCTAGTCTAGTAGTTTCTTCTTTGGCACTTTTCATCTGTGGAACTTCCTTCCAATGTCATGCTTTCCTATTAACTATAATCTTCAAAAATTTAAATGCATCATCAATTGCCATCTTTTGTCTTCTTGAATCCTGTTACTTTTTGTCCTTTCTTCTATCATCCCCACTAAAGTCTTCTCACTCTCCTTCACTTCCTGTAGTCCTCTGTATTCTTGTGGCATCAAAAAAAATCAAAGTTTATTTGCATTCTATAAAAGACAGTTATGGACTAGTGTTATAGTTCTGAAAATTCCCTTATTGAAAGTGAAGTAAAGAATTTGAGGATTAAATTGGTACAGTGAACTTGGATCCCTATATATTGATGCTTGATCCAATGAAGATTATAACTGAAAGTAGCTCCAAGTTCTTAGAATTAATATATAAATTCTTTGAACTTACATATAAGAGTCATTAACTACTCCATAAACTTTTGCTTTATTTTTTATTTTATTTATACTTTATATTTCTAGTCACCATTTCTTTGTAGTTGGTAACTGATTTATGACAGGCATTACCCACACAAGATGGTTTGACACTAATAAACTTTGATATGACTTCAAATGAAGTAAGCTAAAAATACACTGGTGGTATGATCACTGGGGATCCATTCTACTGGGAGAACCTTTAACATTATTAATTGGGTTAGGTGCAGGGGCATACATTGATACCTGTGGAATCAAGGGAATCTGAAAATATCTGGATGACTGAACATATGTCTTTGAGTCATATATAGATGCTCTACAGAGCCTGTGTTGCCTTTGTCCTTGTGAAGTGATAAAATCTCATTTCATCCAACAAGACTGCCTCCCTATCAAAAGCCACTTCTGAGGATGATATAAACAAGATACCACATTTACTCTAACAGTTTAATGGGGAAATAACAAAATTATAGCTTTCAGTACTTCAAAAACCAAATTAGTATCATTTCATCACTGACCAGATTCTATTTCCTCAAGTTTTTATTTTTTAATTAGTTCACTCCAAGCACGGTGACAATGCCACTAAAATGCAAGGGACTACTGGGAGTGAAAAAGAATGAGAAGACTTTTAGAAGGAACTGGAAACCCAATCCTAAACATGGAAACAAGGGATAAACCTCTACTCCTGTTAAAAAAAAACAAAAAAAAAAAAACAGGGGCAATGAATGATTTCACTCTCAAAGAGGCTCCATGATTTGAAAATCTCTTTGGTTTCAAGTTCACTCCAGACCTCAAGTAGAACTTTTATATTCAATCTATTGCTAAAGAATCTGAAAAAAATGGCTGCCTCATTGTATTGTTCCAGGTAGTATTTGACTCATTCTGCCATGTTTTATCATTAGGAGAGTTAAATTAAATCCGAACTGGAGTATTGCAATCATAGCTGGGCTAGAGCTATTCAATCTTCATTTGATAGAGTTCAAAATTGTTTACATGATTCTGTGGGTGATAACTTTGTTTGTAGCCTTTTTACCAGATGTGCAGTGTGGTGTAATGGATAATGGCTTGGAATGAGAAAATGGAGAGCCAGGCTTGAATTCCAGTTAGGTTTCTTACATTCACTTATGCACAAATAACTTTGGAAGAAGAGTAAATCTATCTCTTCTCCCACTATGTGTTGAATAACAGGGAAGCCTTGTTTGGCAACTTGTCTACCTCAGAAAGAAATGACAGCCTACTGCACAAAATCTTCTACCCAGTCATGAATCAAAAGAGACATGATCACCTAAATATGTATCATGTATGTCACTTAATTCTTTCCAACAAATGCAATGTTGCAAGACTGTTAGTATTCTACTACTATTGACATGGCAAGTGTTCAGAACTCCATTCTTTAGTTCCACTAGTTCAGACCTTTACAGCTAGCACTTACCTTGTCACTTACACAGTCATCATACATATTTCCTCCACCATGTTTTAAATGGTCTTACGGAAGAAGATAACTTTTTCCAAAGAACTATTTGTGGAACAGACTCTCACTGGTTGCTTCCCTGAATACTTCAAGCTTGACCTTTTCAAGCCCAGGGTCAATCTTCATCTTTCTTCCTTATCCTCATAATTTTAATTTCTTACCACCTTCTCTTTCCATTCATATAACACCTCATTCAGCATTACCATTTTCCTGAATGTAACCCTCTACCTTGAGTGGCTCTCCAGCCTTGAATTAGATTCTCATTTCTTACCACCTTATCCTTCCATTTTACTGACTCTTTCTCTTGATTGATTCTCAAGCTTTGTATTGAATAAGATTTAGAATCATAATAATTTTAAAAAAGGACATTTTCTTTTAGTTATTCAAATATGGACTACAGTGATTACATAAAATTTCATTTTTTTAAGAATAACTTTCATTTTGTGTGTTTTACAATTGTTGGGTGAAAATGTTTTCATGTTTGACTAAAGTTGAAAAATTGTCCAATAAGAAATTGAGATAACTTTTACCTTTGAGTAACTGAGGTGGAAGGCTTGAGAAAAGAGTCTGTCTAATTTTCTGTTTACATTCTCTGCAATCAAATTCATCTTCCTCTTGTGTCTTGTTTGTTTTTTCTTTTTTGTCCACTTCTCCATCATGTACATCTTCTCTCTGGAAGTTAGGTACTTCTATGACATTCAGGTGATCAATGCAGTTAATCATACCTATAATAATTAAAAAGGTAATTAATTTTGTCTTTAATGATATATGTAAATTTTTTGTCATGTTTTATATCTAAATGAAACAAAATACAGGCATATGAATTTGGAAGCTAAATTTCAAGCTGGCAGTATTTTTTTCTTCTCTAAAATGTTTTTTGACACAAAGTGGTAGGATAACATATATCATGGTATAGAAAATTTTCATATACATCAATGTACTGACTTTTAAAATGTAGGAAGATTATGTAGTACTAATATCATAAGAATAAGGTCTACTTCCTTTCAGAATCAGTATTTGAAATATTAGTTCATATCCTGATTTGATCAAAAACAACTGGTAGCATTTCATTCACTAAACTGACCCAAGTAATAGCAGAAGACAGATATTTTCCTCTTGATTACTTTCTAGAGTTAAGGACAAGTATAAAGGAATGTAGTGAAATGGAGACTGACGTGGTCTGAGAAAAGGATTTAATTGGTTGTTTTGATGAAGGAATCGTGCACCCATAGTGTTCTGATTGGCTAGGAATCTTATGGACAAGAAAAGGGAACTGAAATGACAGAAAATGTTTATTTGGGAAGCAATATTTAAATGAGTATCAGTTAGCTGGAAGAATCTGTTAAGTTTTCTTAAATAGCTTCATCAGATCAAGACTTTTATATGGATGTTATGTATGGTGCCATTCAGAAGTGTCTAAAGTGTCACTATATACAAATGCTTTTTCATATCAATGGTTAGGAATATCTTTTTAGCAAGTGAAACCTACAGATCTTAGAGAGGATCATTGTTCTTCAAACTGTGTAGATTGGTGCAAGAGAATCACAAAGGATTATACCAAATAATAAAAACCACATCACTTAAGGACTTTCAACAGCAGCAAAAATTAAAATGGATAGCACAAGAAACACAAAGAGAAATCAATATATTGATGTTCCACATTACTTCAAACAGAAACTTAAGAAGGAAACACCTGTCAATAATGAAGGAGCAATAACAATAACTGGTCTTGAGAAACCTATTTTTCTGAAAAATTCTTTTAATAGAAAGATTTATTAATTTCAACCAAAAGTAGCATTGACCTCTCAGTCAATGATTGCAGAATGTTTCCTTATATGGAAATGTCTAATAGTACTATTATCATGTTAGTCAAGTGTCAAAAGACAAACTGCTGCAGTCACTTGACCCAGTAGCAACTGCAACTGAGGCAAAAAAAAAAAAGACAGATCATACATCTTGGGTCTACATTTTCCATTCATATTTTATACACATTTTAAACACATCACCAGCTGTCTCATGTTTCAAATAAGTGATCCATCACACACACACACACACACACAAAAAAAAAAAAAAAAAAAAACAATATTTATGATACAATGTGTGTCCGCCTTGTGTATATTTTCCATTTCATAACCTTTCTTTCTTTTCTTAAGTCCCTATGATAACACACAAGAAATGTTTGATCGAGCAAATCCAACAATGTACCTAAACTCAACAACCATTCCTATTCATTACAAGAGATTGATTGTTTTTTTACAGCTTATCAACCCTCTGTGGGTTATTTAAACTCAAGACATATTTTGGATTGTAAGAATAATTTTTTTTTATGAGTGAATATTGCATTAACAATTTTTTTCAGAATAACAATGATTTTTCCAGATACAAATTTTACTACTTAATCCATACTAGAGGGAGTAAATGGATTCATAGCTTGCTCAAAGTTATTGGCATGTGAGTGAATATAATGAACCTAACTGGAATTTGAATTTGGCTTTCTGATTCGTCATTCTCAGTCAATATCCATTAGACCACCTATATATTCACAGTACAAGAGAAGAGTTTGAGTGTATTTAATATCATTTACAACTAATTAAACTGAGACAACCAGTAATTGTTTTTTTTTATTCACTACTGACAGTTGACTCAGTTAATAAAATGGGACATAATGGCTTATACACTATTTGTTGTTCAGTGATTTAAGATTCTTTGGCGAAGCAAACAATTTTTATCATATATTAGATCTTATGATAAACAGAACTGTTTTAATACCTGTATTACACATGAGTGGTTAAAATCTGAAATAGTTTCAAGTTTTCTGAATTTCTTAAAATTCAGACAACTTAAGACTGCTACTATGCAGTATACACTGTTTCTTTTCAAATAGCATCAAGTAATTTTAGTTGAGATTTGTCATGCTTAGAAAATTCTAAAGTTTGAGCTTATTTCATGCTTAAAATTTGAGAAAGGTGAAATTTTACCTTAAAATAAATTTGCCTCAAAAGAATATGTGCTTTGATTCATGCTTGAAATGCATTTAATTTTTTAACTACTTATAAGCTTCATGCTTAAAAAAATAGTATAAACAAACAATATAGCATAGAAGGAAAATTGGAAAGGATGTAGCTATGACTAAAAGTAAATAATATCTACTGGCGCGATTTTGTAACCTAAGTAAAACAGGCTTTCAAGGATAAGGGATAGGTGAATTCACACAATTACAATAAATAACATAAATCAGATGAAATAAAAACTAATAAAAATAAATGATATCTGAAATATAATTTCCAGTTTTTAGGTCAGCAAATTTTGTCAGAGTTTAAAATTAAATGTGACATCCACAGTATGATACACACAGATTATCATCTTTTTCTTTATTTAAATTTAGCAACTTAGGATTGCTCAGAGATTACTCCTTGCTGCTGGTATGATGTAACCCAGTACAATCTGTGCTATGTTACTTAGAAAGGAACCTAATAACTCCCATTACTCCAAGAAATGCTGTGAAGGACCCAGCATGATGTCCTTGGTCATAGAAAAATTGGATTTTGAAAGTTAGCATAAATCAACCTTGGTTTTGCATTTTAGATTTGAAGAAAAATATTAATTTTTCTGAATATAACTACTACTAAAAACCAAAAAATTCATCAAATTCTATTATTTTATTTGTTACGAGCAAATGGCCAAATGTTTACAGTTTTAGTGTTCAAAACCATGAGAAGCCAGGTTTAAATCTCACCATAGTTACTTAGTCAAGGGTGTGACTTATTGATGCCATGGGGAGATGAACCAAGCATATAGTACTTTTCAAAAAAGCCTGAAAACCATTCCAAATCTTGTGAATGAAATTGGATAGACAAAACTGTAAGCCATCAATGGTTATGCTAAAACATAGTCACAAGTACTCAACTAATGGCCAGATAGAAGTTATTTATTCTTGGCTAGCCATCTATCCAGATATAAAAAAAAAACAACCATCCCCAAGCAACCTGGCCATTCATGGGGATATATCAGCTTGAAATAAGTACAATGACTGAAATTCTAAAAAAATACAAAGAAAGAATTCATGCAATCTGCTGCAAAGAGAAGCCAAGTTTGCATTTCTTTATATTCAATGGTGGCAATTTCATTGTAGCTAGTCCAACCTCTTTAATCTGGTACTCAATGGTCTGACACTTTTTTTGAATCAGCCGTTATTAATTTGTTGAGTGGCTATGAGAGCAGTACCACATGTTGTTTACAACTTTCCACAACAGCAGAATGTTTTGGTGATACAGTTTTGCTTATTTCTTATATATAGCTGTATATTCACTCATTCAGAATAGTAAGTATATATTTTTTGGATTTAGGATTTTTTTTTTTTTAGCTTTTGTATTTCATGAAATAATAAAAACCAGCATTTTCTGTGGTCTGGCAGTAGCCTGGTTCCAAGTGTGCTAGATTAAAGAGGCCAGACATCAAAATGGGGGACACCAAAAATTGGTTCTTATTTTAAAAAAAAATGTAAATAATATCATATTTAGTTACCATTCTTCTGCAAATATCGCAAAGTATCATTGTATCCTTGTTGGAAAATTTCACTCATGGTGAGAGATTGGGGTGGAAAAAGAGCAATGGATACTCGATGAAGGTTCTCCTGGGTGAACTGTACACTACTGTTGCAGATGTTAAGATGTATGAAGTTAGAGGAATTGTCCAGTGGGCAGATGTCTGTCTCTCCAGAGAAGGGTGAAACTGTAATTGTTGGCTCATCAAAGATGGGCTGATTATCTGACAATCCTCCATCCCAATAATACTAAAAGAAGAAAAAATAACTTAAATGATAATCTAATCAAGTGGTTGGTGTTTATGATCTGAGTTAGAAATTGAAACTGATATAGAATGTCAAGGAGAAATTAATTTAATGAGACAAAAAACAATTTCGCTGAAGGAAAAAAATGAGTCATATTCTTTAATATGATAAAAATTAAAAAACTTAATTCATATGATGAAAATTCAGATCAAAATCTAACATCTTTGTAGATATGAATAAAATATATATACACCATATATTTCCACATATAAGGTGACCTTTAGATATGACAAGGTCAAAAAATATAGCAAATTTTCATGAATTTGTCCTATATCTGTAGCATAAGACTGCTTAGTGATTATATAAAGATGATGTTATTGGAAATGTTGTTACGTACTATATCCTTAGAAATTCAATATAAATGAAATAACAAAACCAATTCTATATAATGTTTTTTGTACACATATCCCCTAAAAGGGAAACCATTGTTTTGTTTACGTTTCATCATGTGATCTCTTGTGAATACCGATTTTTCTTCTTCTTCCTATATCTAAACAGCTATAAACAACCTGTTGTACTAATAGCCATTTACTTATACTTTATTGACAATCACAAAATGCCGCTAATAACAGTATGATAATGTACGATGATGGTACATTCCATTGCTGTAAACGCAATCATAACTTGATGTTTAAATTTTCTCAGCTGAGCATGGATACAAGTTGATTTCATTGATATGGAATTATTCTTCGAATAGGCAATTTATTATGAAGTTATGCCAGTAAATGTAAAGTAGAAATGGTTTTATTAATTTTATTATCAGTTTATTTGATAATAGGAATTTTTTAATGTACATTATTGGTTATCACACCAAGGCTAAGGTTAGCCTACAGACAAACATCAGTCAGAATTTAAGGTTTCTATTTTGGAATTGTAGTATAAAATGACCCCCAATTTTTAAGGGCGATTTTTTTGGGGGATTTAAAGGTTGTCTTATATGTGGAAGTGTGTATATATATATATATATATATATATATATGAGAGAGAATTAAAAAAATATTTCATTTAAGTAGGTGAAAATAATAAATCACTTTAAGAGATTAGAAATAAGTCCATAAATTCTTGACTATGCTGAAGAACATACAGTACAACTATATAACTGCAGTGAACTTTTCTTATGTAAGAGAAAAAGCAAAATGTAAGAGTGAAAGCAAAACAGAGCCAAATGTCATAAGTATGGTATTTAATAGTAAATCTATCCTTCACAAGCTTCTATTAACTAGAGTTGGTCACTTACAAGAGAAAAATCTAAAAAAAGAATGAAACCAAGTTTCTTCTTCAAGAGTTGACAAACTCAAGAAAACCATAAAGATGAGATGAAAAAATCTGGTATGATAGACCATATCTGAAAGGAGAAGGGTATACATTACCCTCTCTGGTATAAAGTCATGATAACTAAGAGAAAACATCATTGGGGAATGAGGCAGCAGAAGATTAAAGAATAGATCAGCCAAAATATTGTGTTAACAACAGCAAATATGCAAAGAAATTTAAGCATCTAAACAATGTTGGTTATATTGATGATGTTTTTTTATGCAGCTTATTAACTCTCTGTGGGTTATTTAAAGCTAAAACATATTTTGAATTGTAAGAATAATTCTTCTTTTTTTTGCCAGTGAATATTAACATTAACAATTTTTTGTGAATAACAATGATTTTTTCCAGATACACATCCTACTATTTAACTCATACCTGGGAGAAGAGATGAATTCATACTTTCCCCAAGAGTATTTGCACATGAGTGAATGTAACTAGTTGCTATCCATTACATCTCACTCACATACCCATATTAATTATAAAATCCCCTTTGTTTTTCTTTATAAAATAGAAGACCACAGCAATAATTTTAAGCAGCTTACTTATCTTTATATATTCATACAATTATGTGTTCATTTACTTTATAAAATAAAAACAAAGAATCCAGCAGTATTTTTAAGCAATAAAATTCCTGTCAAGTGTTATAAAAATATTTAGAATATTTATGTAGTTGAATTTATTGCATCATTAACTGCATAGACATTTTACAAAGGAAATGTTTAAAAACTCAGACATGAATTAGCAAGGTATGGAAAATTTATTGGTAAATCTTTTGTTATGCAAATATTAAACTTTATAACCCCTAGTAAAATATGAAGGAATTAACACACTTAGAGGATATTTACTTTTTTTTTTGGTTCTATTTAGCAGTTAATAAACTAATCAAAAATAAGATGAAAAATATTTTCTGTTTAATAGCTGAACATTTTGGCTTCATGAAATATACCTTAACAGAAGTAGATCAAATTATTTAATTTATTTTATAATTAATGGAAAATATTATGAAATAACTCAATATTGAAAAAAATGATGGAACAATTTTTTTTGTAACATTTGTATCAATATGTTGATAACCAAAATAATCACCAGCATAATCTGGTTTATAATCAAAAAGTATACTAAAATCAAATCATGCAGCCATCAGAGAATCTTTTAAGGTAGTAGTTATCATCATCATCATCATCATCAGTTGCTTCCCCCCACTAAAACATGAAATTAAAAAGTTTGCTTACATCTCCTTTGTACCTTGGGGGTATAATTCCGCAGTAAAAAGGAATAAAACCACTGCATAACATTGCCTGTAAGAAAAAAAAAAAAAGCATAAATAAAAAGAAACTCTCTTACATACATATATATATATATATATATATATACACACACACAAAACTATAAATCTTATAAAATATTTACTTGATGTGTGTTTAGATTATTTCTGATGAGTAATTGTTAATATCCTTGTATTGTTTCAAATTGTTGTTGTTGTTATCTTGGTTTTATGTAGATGTTATTATAGACATGACGTTTCAACCAAGTACTTTCTGGTCATCATCAGGGACATATGTTAACAATAATCAACAGATATCCGATACCAGCCAATCCATGGACAGCTAATGATGACCAGAGGGTATTTGGTCAAACATTACGCCTATAATAACATCTATATCAGCCAATAATACAATATTCCAAATTAATACAAGAATATTGATATATGTTGTTGATTATAAATCTGCAGGAATTTTGTTTTTTTTCTGCATAAAAACCAAAGTTTTATTGTATTTTGTTTCAGACTAATTTCTTTCTTTTATTTATTTATTAACTCTTTTCAGGTTTTTTTTGGTTGATGTATCCTCCATCCTTCCTATGAGGATCTGTTGTTTTTCAAATATCTTGGCTTAAGGAGACATTTGATTCTCATCTTATACATGACACATATCCTCCTTTGATTTATTCATTGAACTTGTGATGTTCCAATGAACTTAATGAATTTCATCGACACTCCTATTTTTGTATCATGTTTTTGTAACTTCAAATTCATTGCTTCTTCTTTCTTTTATTAATGATTCTCATTCATATGTTATTAATATTGATATCTAATAATAATAATTTCTGCTTGTAATTTAGTTCAGATTAAAAGATGTAAATGGACCAGGAGTTGCTAGAAAACCAGTGTAAAACACATTTTCATGTTCCTTAACCTTGAAACTTGTTTTTTCTTTAAATTTATTACAGAGTAAGGAAGTTCGTGGTTTCAGATTCTTAAAATCTGAACTAGAATACTATTTAAAATATCTCATAATTTTTTTAAGAAGAAAAAAAAATCTGATGGCTGATTAAAAATATCACCCATAAATTTATGCTTTACCTATTGTCCCTATTGCATGTTTTAAGATAAAAATTAAGATAATTCATTTCTTTCAGTCATATTAAAGTAATAAACATTTAACAACCACAATTTTTGTTCAAATTTAACTAGAATGCTACCTCATAGGTTGTGGAAAAAATACAGAAATAAAAACAATCCTTGGGAAATGATATAAATAAAATAACATTATCATACAACAGTGTTTGTTTTTAAATGGGGACTGAAAATAAATATTAGCCAAATGCAAATAATTAAATAAACCTAGGTTTTTATTAGTTAAAAGTAAGAGTTATTTATAAAATATCATTATGTATTAAAAAAATCCAAATATCATATCTGTTTGTAATTATTTTGGTTTTTTTTTCAAAGTTACTAGGTAAGTTAAAATAAAAAGAATCCTATTAATAGAAAATAAAAAGAGGAAGTTGTTCATGTCAGTTTTATAAATCTATTTTGCAATAGAGTTAAAAAGGTTTAAATCTCATGAGGACACCAGTTTATACAATGGGTGCATAGCACTTTTGGTATGTTTACACAAAAGATATTTTATTTGTTCAAAGGTAACCATAGCAAAAATCATAGCATTTAGACAACAAAATAGAAGAATGGTGTTATCTTTGTTGACAACTGAAACAGGCCAGCCATACAAACAAACATGTAAGAGCATATGCACTTGTTTCATCTATCTTGGATCAGGAAAAAAAAGAAAGAAAGAAAAACCAGGTTATCAATAAACAGCAAAGAACTCTTATTTCCTCTTTACATAAATACTATCATTACATACACATGAACAAAAAAAAAACAATAATTCATGGATGGCATGATAATTACTTGAATAAAAACTTTCAAGTTGTAGCTAAATGAGTTTTTGTATGTATTATAGCAATGAGATCTCTAGTATTCATTCATTATTAACAATAATACAGAAAAAAAAAAAACAGTCTTCAATCTCTTTTTCTTCCCCCACTAACTTTTACATTTTCTGTTTGAATTCCTGGGATAAGGAGCTATCATTATTTATAGTTGAACTAATATCCTCATCTTTGTTATTATTATCACAACATTTCAACCACTGTACTCTTCAGACTTCTTCAGGTGTTTGTTGATCTAAGAAACCTTCAGGGAATTTTAAACTGAATCCTTTAATCTATGGGAATAAATTGTTCTTGTTTGATCATCTATGTCTCAGGACATTTTTTCTTTTTTTTAGTATTGCTCAATTATTGTTAGTCCTGTTTCCACTGAGTCTGATTCTATACTACCTGGACCAGGGATTGAACTAACCAAATTCTTGAACCAATACTTTAATCTTTTAATGCTAAGGCATTAAAACATTGGTTCTTGATTTTTTTGTCTTCATTTATCAGGATCTGGGATGGGCAAACATGTTAAGGACTTCAAAACCACTGCTTTGTATAGTTTCAAGTCACTACCTGATGTTATAAAGCATTAAAACTGCTTTTCAGAGCAGGTGTCCAGGGAATGTTTCAAGATAAGGCTGAAGAGTATCTCCTCCTGATATGTGGTACATCTGCATTAGGAAAAATGGATGGTAATTGACACTGATGATTGACAGACAACAAAGCCAAATATATTGTAATGGATAAGTGAGAGAAAGAATAAAAAATAACATGGAAAATAAAATAAATAGCACCAACTCAAAACAAGGTAACTTTTACTAATATTAGCCATAATCATCTTCTAGAATAAGAAACTTTTAAACTAAAGATCAGAGCTCATTTCCAACTTCAGATACAAAAGCAAATTCCTACAACATACATAATGACCAAAAAAGACTAAATAAATCCCATAACCTAAATTTAATAAACTTTATTCCAAATAACCAAACTTAGAATCAAAGATAAATATACAAAACAAAGGACTAAATAAATATATAAAATAAGCCATCTAAATGTCATGACCATAAATAAAGAAAGTATTAGACCTAAACAACAGTACATGGAAGGACTTCTTTCACTTTCCTTAATCTCCCAATGGCCCATGTGTATATAGAGCCCACTAAAAGAGTAGTGGCACTTGTTCTGAACATCGCATTGAGGTGTGAAACAGTCACCATGTAATGTTGATTACTATGTCTACACACACACACTCTCTCTTTATATATCTATATATATTTTCACCATTTTATATATATATATATATATATATATAAAAAATGATAAAAAATATAGTTTCAGGTTATGCTATAACTATGGGTTAAAGTGCTCATTATTAGGGATAGAGCATATGTAAATATAAAAGTGGTTATTGAGGGCAACACCCAGAAGCAACAGTCTGTTTCATGCTTAAATGCAATCTTCAGGGCTAATTATATCTATTTACCAAGTTTTTCTTAATATGCGATAAATATAATTACAATTTAATCTAAAAATCTGGATTATGTCATACTTGGAAATTTTCAATAAAGATGAAATTATATATGTATGAAAATTTTTTTTAAATAAAAAAAAAAAAAATGAAAAATCTTCTATATGTGTACATACATATATGCATAGGTTAATATGTATATATAGTGATATTAAAAAAAAAACAACAAAAAACATTTTAACTGGTTCTGAATTTAAATATTGCAACATTTGTAATGAAACTCTGTGGTAAGAAGTTCAAATCTGGAAGTTATGATTAGTGTTAATTCTGAGGACTATATATAAATTTATTGAACATCTGGCCTTGATGAGCTGATCAATCAGTTAAGTCTTAATTATTAATTTACGAAGTTATTTTTAATATTTGTATAATAAAGTTTTTTTATCAAAGCAACTTTCAAAATATAAAAATACAGAATTTATGATTCAAGAATTAAAAGGAATTACATCAATAAGTTCAGTGTTGGACTCATATTCAGAAACAATGACATTTTTTAGGTCCTTGTATCGAGTGAGGGAGATGAACAAACGTCCAGTGGCTATTTTGTAAGCATCTTCGGGAAGTACTTGGAGCATACTTTCATGGAGCTCACTCATCAGTTTGAATCTTGGGTGCAGTGGTCCTAAGATTGGTTGTGATTCAGCCTGATCCACAAGTCTAAGGACATAGCTTGTACACTCATCTGTAAGAGAAAAATTACACAGTGATCATATTGTTGCTTATGGAAGTAAATGATTGCAATTTAAAGGCGATAAAAGTGATAATAAAAAGGTTGTTGGCATGATTTACCTTAATTCTCAAAAAGCAAACTTCTTTCAGTTTCTACCAGCAGAACAATATTAATGATTATAACTTCCTCAAAGAGGAGTGTCTTTTTTATAATCATTTCACCCCAAGCAAGGTGATAAAGCCACTAAGACACAAAGGGTTACTAATGATAAAAAACAACAAAGTGAAGGAAACTGAAAATGTTACTCAGGCAAAAGGACAATAAAAAAAAACAGAATTCAAGATAGATGATGATGATTGACATTTAAATTTATATAGATTATAGTTGACATGAAAGCAAGAAGCTGAAAGAGAGTTCCATAGGCAAGAAGTGCAAGAGAAAATTTTAATCTTCACTACTTGCTCCCCTTGGATACTCTCCTGCTTAGAAATGGATAATCTTACCTGTCAATGACGAGCAGCTATTATTATTGTAGGCACATGGAGAACAAAGTAGTCAGAAGAATGTGTTAAGTTTAGCAATTTCAACAGTAAAATGATGAAAAGTAGCTGCCAATCTGGTATTATGCTTAAATTTATGAAGTCAAGGTACCAAAGAGAAAAGCTCATCAGAATAATTGTCATGAAAATATTTGTAGAAAATGCACAAGGAAGCTACATTACAGTGTGTGAGAAAGTGACTGAAACTTAGATATCAGAGTCAATAATATTGCAGTTTCTTTGGATTTTGTTCAGAATCTTAAAATGCATAACAGAGACACCAGATAAAAAGAATAGATGTGCTATGTGTTTTCATTCTTATTATCCAAAGTGAGGTTAACTCTTTGTTATGAATAATCTAGAGTGGTCTCCTCTTGTTTTGTTACTCTCTTCTTTGAGAGAGCTATTTCTGTTTAATGGGACTATAAAAGGAACCATATATTCTCAGTTGAATAAAGCTTTCTTAAAGCATACTTCTGTCATTACACTCTTGTTATATACTAGCACTTTAAGAAAGTTCTTTCAAACCCAACTAGCATTATAATATTACAGATTTCTTCTTTTGATAAGAGATATTGTAAAGTATTAAAATCCTTTATGATTTAATTGGTTTAATGGTTTATCATCCCAAATTAACAGTCATTAACATGCTGATTAAACTGTCTTCATTTTATTGTAATTTTTACATCAACATTTTACCACAAATCACTTAGTACAATTTTGGGCTTAAAGAGAATAACTCAAGATTTGAAAAAGACTTGTTCAGGTTTGAAAATGACAAAACATTAGTTTGACTCTATAAAAATCACACATATTTAGTAGACTATTTGTTTGTAATATGATTTCAAACATTATTTTAAGCATAAAGAATGGTGTTTGTGAAAAACAAGGATCCATAGTTATTAATTCTGCTTATATCATTGTTTTCATTCATGTCTACCACTGCATATTCACACCTTTATCTGTCAATTTAACCCTGAAGACTTATTGACAAGGAAAACAATTTTTCAATTCAGAAAAAATCTATTTTTTTTTTGAAAAAAAAAAAAAAAAAAATTTTTTTTCCATTTTAAAAAAATTCTTTTTGTTGTTTAAAATCTGGGATGAAATGTTTTTTTTAAATCATTTTTAAAAATTTTTTAAATATCAATTATCATTTTTGAGAAAAAAAAAAAACTTATTTTAAGAAAATCAGAAATTATAATGTTTATTTAAAATATTTTGAACCAAACTTAACGAAAGCTTTTTATGCCTAAAAAGATGTAATTTGAAAATAAAACAAAGCAGGTCATTTTTAAACTTTCGCGTCTCTTGACATGTGATGAATGATATATTTTTTAAAATTCCATGAGGCTAATTTGTTCTACGGAAGGAGAAAAGTGAAATAATTTACATTTACGTGAACAAATTATTTACCCCGTTATTTTTAATGAAAACTTTCAGCGGTCTCTTTTTTTTTTTTTTTTTTTGTACTTAGCTTTCACCTTTACGTTTATGATGCTTTATGGGAAATATATTGTAAAGAAATTAAAATAAAACTGTTAAGAGTGACATTAAATTTCATATTTCTTAAGAAAGGTATCTAATTAATTTATAGGTACCTTTCTTATGAAATTTTATCAGAATTGTACATAAAATACTATAATTTTATGTACATTTATTACATTCTACTGTTATTTGTATTTGCATTCATTTTATTATTAATTTTGATATTTCATTTATGGAAAAATGTCATAACTGAGATTAATATAAAAATAAGATCATATAAATTTCATAAGATGATACTGATACTTGTAGGTACCCTTCTCAGTTGAAATTGAAAAATCAAATTAACTTCTCCACACGTGTTTCGCAAAAAGTAAAGGCCTTAACAGCGGAGAACAATGCTTAACTCAAATAACGCAACTTAATTATATTCTGGTTGGTCTTCCGTATTTTATAATTACAGCTCGATTATAAGCACAAAATTACATTTCTTAATTACTGGGGATCTTCTGATTAGTCAAAATGATACAATTTACAACGCGCTAAAAAAAAGATCTATCTCATAAGGACACTTATGAAAGCCGATGCGGCTTTTTTAACTAATTTTATAATATTTTAACAACTTAAATGTAAAATCTATTATAATTAATGAAATAACAAATAATTGTATTAAAATTCATTTTTCATCGAAAAATTTTTTTTGCTTTCAGAAAATATTGTCCATATTCATAAAAAAAACAACTAAAAGCAAATAAAAGCATTTGAAATTAAATAATATCTTTGTTTTATTGAGTTTTGTATGTTACAATTCAGAGCTGATTTTCAGGTACTGGGTATCCAATTAAAAACAAAAAAAAACATGATTTGCATTCCTCAAAGCCCTGTGCTTTTTAATTATTGTAATCACTAAAAACCGATGCGATCGAATTTATAGCGTTTTCATAAAATTAGTTATGGGGGTGGGGGTAATAAATATATAAAAAAAAAATATTTCTACCATGACTTTCATAAAAAAAAATAATTTCGATCATCTGTGAATAGTTCCTGAAAGTTTCATTAACATCCGATAATTATTTCTATTTTTGCACGATTTTTCAAATTAATGTGTGTCATAAAAAAAAAAACGTGCTAAAAATTGTCTATGTTATTTACTAGTTCCGCTGATACAAATAGAAAAAGGTTTTTTTTTAATCAAAATTTAGAATGTTCTAAAAAAGAAGGAAAATTTTTTAAAAATAATTAAAAAAAAAAAAACTTTGGTCTTTCCTCTTAATAATAACATAAGCATTTAGACAATAAAATTTTGTTTTCGGCAAGTTTGGCGTCTTTTTCATCAAGCTATGCTTTTTTTTTAGCGATTTTTGTGGAGGTACCTATGTTTAACCAAGACAGATGATTGCATTTCCATTTAAATTTTTTAAAGATCAAAATTTATGTAATCCAACTTTAAGACATTAAATGAATCCAGCAGCAAACAACAAATGATCAGGAGGTTTTAAGGAAAAAAATTAGCACCTTTTCATTTAAAAAATATTTCAAATAGTTAACAAAAAATGATTATTAACAAAACAGCCAAAAAAAATTATTACCAGCAATTACAATTTGAGTTTCAAAAATATTAGATAAAGGTAAATTTTGACAAAACTAAAATATTACCAGCAGACAAAACTTTTATTCTTTTTAAATAACCCATTTAAATGAAAATGTTCTTTTAAAAACAAAAATAAACCAAAATTGTTTTTGATTGCAAAACTTTGACATTTTTGAGAATCAAAAGAAAATGATAGAAGAAATCTATTACATAAAAAAAATTCATAAGTCTAGGTATCATCGAGGAAAAAGTCAATGAAAACAATTATCATGAAAGGATTTATAGAAAAGACACAGGGAAGCTATGTAATGGCAATGGAAAATTTTGAAACTGAGATGCAAGGTCAAAACCAATAACATTGTAGATGCTGCTTTGGATTTTATCAAGAATCTCTAAATATATAGCAGGTACACCAGAACATATATGGCAGCAATATTCAAAGCAAGGATGAATAGCAGACTTATGAATGTTGTTACTATTATACACTTGTCCATTTAGATGACAAAAATGAAGGAACTGATCTGAAAGAATCAGTGAATAATATTTCATATTTTATTGTTCAAATTCACAAAAATAGTAAATTGAAAATTATGCAAACAAATTCCTTTTTAAATTTCAATCCATTTTTTTTAAAAATTTTATTTTTCTTGTTTCAATAATAATACTATAAGGTTAAATGTTAAATGAAAAAAATTGAGAACAATTTTAAAATAGAAAGGACAAATAAAAGAACAATAATCTTGGAAAAAGATAACAAATGATCTAGAATGCTTTTTTTTTCCTTTAGAAGAAAGAAAAGAAGAAAGTAAACCAGATAAGAAAGAAACAAGAAAGAAAAGAAGGCAAAGAAAGAAAGTAATAAACAAACATTCATAAAGTTCTACACAGAATCATTAATTTTTTACATCGTTTTCATCATCACATTGTGTTACAAACAAATCATCTAAAAAAGTCTCTTATAAATGAATAAATATATATATATAAAAAATACCATAAATAATTTTTTCATAGGTCATGAAAAAATAGATAAATAAAAACAATCCCTGGGAAATGATATAAATAAAATAACATCATCATACAACATTGTTTATTTTTAAATGGGGATTGAATATAAATATTAGCCAAATGCAAATAATAATTAAATAAAAAATAGGTTTTTTTTTTTAGTTAAAAAGTAAGAAAAAATGTATAAGGATAAAATTTTAATATATTTATATATATATATATATATATATATACATACATAAAAAGATAAAATATATTTAATTATTTTATGTTTTAAAATCAAAATTCTAGACAAAAAAATATAAAATTTAAAAAATAAAAAAAAAAAAGGAATTTTTTTTTATTAATCAGAAACTAAATTCCTTTTGTTCATGTTTCATTTTTATAATATTTATATATTACAAACAAGTAACTTCCTACCTGTCACTGGTTGGAACCAACCTTTTAGTTTGGTTCATGAAAGATAACAAAAATACAAAAAATAAAATAAATTTTTTTTTTTTTATTACCTAAAAAAAAAATATTAAAGAGCAAATTAAAACTTTAATTATTTAGTGAACTTGAAGCCACATCATATTGAAACACTAGTTCCTATATGATCATCAAAGTTAAGCAACAGTGAGCCTGGTCAGTACCTAGATGGGTAACCACTTGGGAATACCAGGTAATGTAAGCTTGGATGTGCAGGTGGTGTAAAGGATAATGATTTCAAACTGGTAATCGGAGAGCCAAGTTTCAATTCCTGCTGGGGTTGTTGTATTCACTTATTTGAAAATACTTAAAAAAATTTATGAATCCAACTCTTCTTCTTTAGCAATATGGTTAATTTTAAGACTTGTATCATTAAGTCATTATTATCTCCCAAAAACACAATCTACAAATATTTTCTGGCTTAAAGCTGATATTGAAGGAACCAGTAATAAAGAAACATTCTGAATTTTTTTCAGATCAATTCACAACAGATGGTCATTTTTGAGTATCATTTTGATATACTGTTGTGTATCTAATGAACCAGCAATGAGAGAAAAATATTATTGAAGTCAAAATCCATATAATTACTTCTTAAATAATTTAACTTGCTATTTGGCTAAATAAACACAATAATGAGGGTTTTTTATTATTTCCGACAGAGACTACACACAACCTGTGGGAATTTTGTTCAATGAGAAAAATGAATTCATTTATTGCTACAATATCATAATAAATTACATTTAAAATGGTTAACTCTAGGGCAATGATCACTTGAATTTGATGTGATTTCATATAAACAGACATCATCTTTAATTGTGAGAAAAAGCCAGGCCTTCAGGCTGTAGTATTTGTTGTGTTTTCATCTTAAAATTATGAAGGGAAAACCTAGCTCTGGGGATTGCAGCCTTGCACCAACATCTTCATTGCACTAAAGAGGAGGATTTTGTGGATACCAATGACAGTGGTTATGGAAACCTGGCAAATTTTGTTCTTGGGATATATATATATATATATATATATATATATATACACACACACACACACACACACTGTAGGTATTTTATATTAGAAATGACCTTGTGTTACATCCTAACTTTGTGTGGAGGTAGGTAAATACTGCTTTCAAGCTGGGATTAAAATATAGTATTTGCTTGCTCTTCTTAAAGTTATCAAGAAAGGAAGAGAGGGTAGGAGTAAGGAAGGGAGGGAATAAGAAAGGAAAGAAGGGATAATTTCAGTGAAATGGAAAACCTTGTCAATTTTTAATCTTTTCATTTGTACCCTCTTACTTCTTAAAATAATGAACAGCATTCATATTTATGACTGTTATTGCAATATTTTGTTAAAGTTGTTAGGCTCAAATATTTAACAATGTATTAGGAGAATTTCCAAAGGTATTTTACTGTCATAGAACTTGTAAGGAGCTTATTTAATCATTAGCTTGAGAATTAGGATTCATCAGGAAATTAAAATAGCAAAACTATGAAATTTTCATTAGTTCTACTAAGATTATCAATTTTAAGCTTCTAAGTTTAACTATATACTAACTACTAGTTTATAGTTAAACATAACAATCTTAGTCCTCCTAAGATTGATAATTTTAAGCTTCTATCTCAGCTGACAACAGCAAAAAAAAACAGCAGTTACTTATATTATAAATGTAAATAGCTTAAGAGAAAAAAAAAAGATAACAAGAAGAATTATTGTTGATCTTTTCACCATGCATTTACATTCCTTGGTATCCAAGAAAATTTAAAATATAATCCCATCAAACATTGTATATGTCATACTAATTCTCTTTACTTTAGTAGTGTTGAGCTAAGACTTGGTTTACAGGCTCAGTAGCTCAAAAAACACTCAAAGCTCTGAACTTTGAAAGAATGTTTCAAGTATGTAACAAAGGTCAATGCAGAGAAACTATTTCCCAAAAAGTACAGGGAGCTGCTGTAGCTGCTAACACTTGGAGAACAGTAAAAACAATTTGCTTAAGCGTTGGTATAATGTTTCATTGCTGCTCATTAATGCCTTTTAGCTTATATCTCTGAAGGAAGAAAATTCCTCTGAAACAATTTTACATTTTTTTAATTGAAAAGTTAAACATACCAGAAAGTGGTTAATGACTGGGAAAGAATATAAGGAAAAGAAAAAAAACATTATTAAGGAAATAAAAGAACGGGTATTAAGAGGATAAAAGCTTATGATTGATATTGCATTTAAATGTTTCAAGGTCAAAGTTGGTTGGAAAGCAAGAGGCTGGAACAGAGTTCCACAAACGAGAAAAACTGTCAGTATAAAATTTATGGTTACATCTATAATTACACTGAAAGTTAGAAGTGTCCAGATATTTAAATTTATCAAATCTACAGATTTTTTTATCATTTCACCCCAAGCAAGGTAATAAAGCCACTATGAAGCAAGGGATTATTGAAAGTAAAAGAAACTAAGAGAGGACAATAAAAGAACAGTTGCTTTCTTTTTTTTAAGTATTCATTACTGATGCTAGTGGTAAATATACAGTTATCTAATGTATTTATTTAGCAGATTTCATTGATAAGCTTAGCTGAGTAAAAACTAAATGAGGAGAAATGTAATTAGGAAGATTGTGTTACTCCAGTCTTCCAACTGAGAGGGTCAGCCTTTTTTGTCAGCAGATATTATTAACAGACTAAGTATTTGCATATTCTCAGCATTGAAAGCTCTCCTGGCTAGCATTTGATCTGGTTTTTCATTTGCATCAGACTTTCTTTTCCTTGCTGCAACCTTGGGTCTTTTGATTGCAATCTGTTAACAGAGATTTCATTTTGTGAGACATACTACTGCCATATGCGATAAGCAACAATAAACTACAGAAGAACTCAAAATTGATCACTGCATTTAAGTATTGCATTAATATTTAAGCTTCTCTTTTAAAACTTAAATGATAATTCTTCTGCTGCCACTTAATTTAAAGACAATTTGATGTCTTTACCTTCCGCATAAACAATTATTTTTATTTCATGGGTGACTTTCACTATATTTTGCAATTAATTTTGATTATTCACAAATTTATTTACAAGTTATAAAAATTGTTACCATACAAAAAATTTGTCGCAAAAAATCATGTAAAAAATTGCTGAAAATAATTGCAGTAGTGAAAACTTGGGAATCCAAAATTTCTGTAACATGAGCTATTGAAAGTTAGAGAGTTGTGATTCTTTAATTGAAAATGTGTGACACACAGAGATTTGCATTTATTAGAGAGAAGATCAAGATATTAAACATTTGCTACACTAGATTTACACAAACAAAATTTACTTTTTGAAAAAAAGAAAAAATATTCATCAATAATTAAACACTGAAAAATGTAATATCATTTTTGTTTGTGTTTCTGGTGTAGTTTATATAAACAGACATAAACCTTTTATTAGATTTAAAATAAAGAATAGCTTACTAATTCCACCATAATTAGATTTTGTTGTTGTTATCACAATGTTTCAGTCACTGTACCCTCCAGCCTTCATCAGGTGTATATTGATTTGGGTAACCTACAGGAAATTATTTAATCTACTGAGGTATCCTGTTTTCATTCCACTGCCCATGTCTAGGGTTATCATGTCTAGTTTTTATTTTTAGTACTGCTCAGTTATTGCTCACTCTATATCCACTGAGTCCAAGTATACACTTGGGTTCAATCCCTGGGCCAAGCAATGTATACTTGAGCTCAGTGGAAACAGGGCAAACAGTAACTGGATTTTATTTCTTCAAATGACAATAACTAATTGTGTGACTCTATGAAACCTGGCTGTCATTAGAACACACATAAAGTGGTTTCTAAATGATTTTATCTGAATCTGAAGTGTCTGGTGCTTTATGAACGGAGTGGGGGAGTAAAGTCTAAAATAATATCTTCAAATTGGTCATTCACTTGACCAGAAGGAAAAACAGAAACTAAATAAATAAAAACATTTAGGATTAACTTGGCTGGAGGTTTTGGTGGCAGGCTTATAAGAGTCAGAGAATATAGTTCTGGGTTGCTGGTTAGAATAGTTTTAAGTCACCTGAAGGCTAGTGAGTTGTGAGTTGTGCATGATGAAGAGATAAGCAGAGAGGTGGTAGGGGAGAGAGAGCTGGTGCTCTTACTGGCCAAAAGGAAGATCTGATTCATTTCTCATAATAGAAGTAGCAGAAGAACTATCCCCCATACAGAACAAGTGAATTCCTGAATAAAATAACCTGACCTGGCTTCTTACCTTCAGTCCTTTTCCAACCACCATAATATAGGTTAAATACTTTCATGGTAATTGTTCTGATCAACTTTCCTTCTTTGGTACATAGAATTTATGAATTTAAGTGCAGTACTAGATTATTGGTAAGGTCTCATTCTTTTACAGTTGAAATGGCTAGATATAAGCTTCTTCTATCCCAGTCCACTTTGATCTTCAAAAACTTAAATGCAGTATCAATCGTTGTCATCTGTTTCCTTGAATTCATTTTTTTTTATTGTCTTCTCTCTCCTCAATAATGTTTTCTCAGTTTTTTTCACTCTCAATAACCCCTTGTAACTTTTTCACCTTGCTTGGGGTAAAATGATTCAAAAATTAAATGTATTATATCTTCCAGAGAACTACAGAGTAATATTGACAATTATGAATATTAAACGATATTAATGATTATAATCTGCCACAAAACCAGAAAAGGGAAGTTAATCTCTTACATCTACATGAGAAGTGAAGGGTTCCTATTTGTAGAGAGATCTAGGGCCACACACCCACTAACCAACAGTAATTGATGAAGTCCAGAGTTGAATAAAATGTAATGTTTGAGAGATTCAGTCTCCTGTTATTTTTAGTGGGTTGACAGCTTGTTCTCTGATACCAGGATTGATCCTGACCAAGCGAGCAGACTGGGATTGACTCGGAACGCCACCCTAACTGGTGGCTGAAGCAGGCCGTGGCCCGAAGCACCGTCATAATACTACTATTAAAGTAAAACAGTAAAATAAGAAATTTTTGGTCTATAAAGACTTATTTCAACTTGTATTTATTTCTTCCAAAATAAAAGAATAAAAATGTCTAATTTTATTAAATTTGACTTCATTTATTGAATATACAACATGCTGAAACATTTGAATATAATATCTATACTTTAGACAAATACATTATTTTAAAGAATTCTTGATTTTATCCAAAGAAAATCTTAAAGTGTAAAATCAACAAAAGGATT